TAGAATAGAATTTTTTGTGCAGAGATGCCATGATTGAGTTTTAAAGTGAAAGCAGGCGTGCTGTCCTGTACATCTGGCCACTAAAGCAAAACAACAAAAAATAGAGAGACAATTGTATATTTCAAGAAAAGTTGTCAAAAACCTCCATTGCTCCCACTCTTCCACTAATGCCTAGAGAAGACACCATACGCATGAAAAGGAATTTGAAGAGTAGGTGAGTTAGTGGTTCTTGTAGCTTTCAATATTGACTTCTTTCATCTCCCTGTGACGGGCAGTTCGGTGTACTAAACTTCCGTTATGTACGAAATTCGGAGAAAGACAAGATCACAAGAATTTATTGTATGCAGTCATGCAGTTCATTTATCTAAGAGATTATTTCTACTGCTTTAATTCGTGACATCCTGATCACATGACAATAACTTTACTAGCTTCATTCATCTCCCTAGTTACAAAATAAAAAATAAAATAAAATAAAATTAGAGCTAACTCCTTGATTGTGTGGTTTATATTTACTAAGACCTTTCTTTTTACTTCTTTAAAAAAAAAGTTTTCTATTACGTATGAGTGTAGGAGAATAGGGTAGGGAAAAAAGACAATGAGAATCGAAATCACATCTATTGTGTGAAAAACTTTGTATTTTTGTTTCGACGTCACAAGCACGTTTCTAGAAAGTTCAATATAATTATGAAGAGGATAATCTTAATTATCTTTAATCAACCATCTAATGATGATTGACCATATATGAAATGTTTCAAATGAAATCCGGATTCACAAAAGTGTTTAAGCATTAGCTAGATAAAAGGCGTCCGATACACTAAGTTTCCGCTATTATACGCAGTCTTATCTTATATTTTTATAAGAGGTTGTTTCGGTTAGCTAGACAAAAACAGTAGCTAGACAATGAAAAGCAAATATTGTGAATGTGTGAAAATAAGAAGTGTCTAATCTCATTGTTTCAAATCATGAAAAGAGTATTAGAATATGGCTAGTCTAATCAACTATAAGATGATATACTAATCCCCTTAACTTATTAAAATCGTAAACGAAAAAATATAAAGGAATGCGTGACAAGTTCCAAACAGATTAGATAAAGAGAGAAACAAATTAAAGGCTTTAATCTATGCATATGGGAGTCGCTAGAATTTGTAGTAAAGTGAGAACAGAATGACAGATTAGAATAATGTGTCTGAATCTGATTGACCCCACTATCGTTTGTTATTTTCTAATGCCCTCGAAGTCAAAAGTGGGAGCAAACTGTACTTCTAATTCCATAATTTTCAATGAAACCACAAGCAGAACATTAACTACTGTTTTAAAAGGCATTTTCGGGGCGATGCCGGGCGAGTCGTACCAAAAACGTTCGGGGCGATAGTGTGAGACGAAAGTCTTAAGAGGCGTACGCCCAGCAATTTGGGGCGTACGTCCGGGCGTTCGAGACACATTTATTTTTAGTGAGGAGTAAGCCCTACACACTTTTTCAAATTAAAATAAAATATGTTGAATAAGTCCTTCATATAATACTCAAATTCTCAAAAGTAGTTTGGTACTTACTCAAAAGGTTTAAAAAGGAACTCAAAAGTATTAAATTTAAAAGTCAAGACCTTTTTTATTGATTGAAACCCTAATTCATGGTATTTCCCAATTTTTTATCATGTCCGCTAGTCTGCTAATATCTCTCAAAAATAACGAATATTTAATTATTTTTACAAATATAAAGAGAACTACATTATATTTCATAACAACAAGTTCAAAGTTCAAATTGCAGGTTAATCATCCTTTTTGTTCCTCCATATATGAAACTTTATTCTTTTAGACTCAAATTACTTGTGCTTGTAAGTAGCANATATATATATATATATATATATATATATATATATATATAGTTTTCTTCAATTTTTATGCAATTTGACCTATTTATAAATATTTACCGTCATTATATTATTTTATAAAATGCTAAAAATTAAATACCTATGGGGTTTACACCCCGTGCCTCGGGGCTTAAGATTCGCTGAGGCATATGTAAAACGCATCGCATTACGCTCACGCCTTTTAAAACACTGACATTAACTGATATTAAATTTAAATTTGATGAATTTAACTTTTACTAAGTATTACTAATGAATTATGAACCTATTATACTTCTAAGATTATGATTTCCAAATTTAGTATTTATTAAAAATTTAGTGATTTTCTAAATATATATTTATATTATTCTTTATTGAAAATATTGAATTTTGTTGAACCCATACATGATTATATTCGGGTAAAGATCACTTTTAGCACGCGGCCAAAACTATTTATATTTGCACTATTAAAAAAATTGATTTTAGCGACGGACAAATTCTGTAGCTAAACAGAAAAATCCGTCGCTAATCTCATTTAGTGACAGATTATCAAGAAATTCTGCTAGCTACGGGCGATTTAGCGACAGATTAGCAACGACGTTCGTAGCTAATTCTAGTTTTTTTTGTAGTATTGGTAACCCAAAAAGTATATAGAATTTGTATATTTTTTTGTGTATATATACTGAAATATGTGTGTATATTGTATATTTTTATATAAGAGTGAGTTGCTTTAGTGGTGACCACCCTCCACTTCCAACTAAGAGGTTGTGCATTCGAGTCACCCCAAGAGCAAGGTGGGGAGTTCTTGGAGGGAGGGAGCCGAGGGTCTATCAGAAACAGCCTCTCTACCCCAGGGTAGGAGTAAGGTATGCTTACACACTACCCTCCCCAGACCCCACTAATGAGATTATACTGAGTTGTTATTGTTGTTGTTGTTGTTATTGTTGTTGTGTGTGTATTCTAACTATTAATAAGGAGAATAAACACACAGGAGGTCAACATGTCTGCTTGGCATGGCTGAGGGTATTGCAGTAATTTCATAAAAATTGAGCAATATGATTGGACGAAAAGCAATTTTACTGTAGCTATAACATAAATTTTTCAATGCCTTGACGAAACTACCCTCTGCTTATCTCATCGACAATCAGCACACCATTTTTTTATGTTTTGTTTTTGCCCCTGTTTTCATCATTTATTGCGTAGTTGCCTGCATGTGTGTTTGGTAAGTTTGGCAAATTTTGAGCACATCTTATATAGTGAAAAGCAGCAGATGTGGTGTCAACTTTTCGAAGTTTTTTGCCCCTGTTTTCATCTTTTAATGCATAGTTGATTGAGCATACTTTTATATCCAGAAAAGCAACAAATGTGGTATCGGAGAAACACCTATAGCAATTGTGTGTGAAATCTTCTATGCACATATTTTCTCTCTTTTTTCCAATTTCTTTTTCACGGACCAATATATTCTTAGTTTTTAACTTTTTAAAATTGCAGGAACACTCAAGCTTTTATTTTATTTTCTTATTGGACATACAATCTTTTTATTTATACCTCTACTTTAAATAAATAGAGCAACAACAAATTTAGTATAATCCCACATGTAAGGTCTGGGGAGGGTAGTGTGTACGCATATCTTACCCCTACCTTGTGGAGGTAGAGATATTATTTTCGATAGACCTTCGACTCAAGGAACAGTGAAAATTAAGTGACAAACAGTACCAACAATAATATAATAGGAACAAATGGCACAACATGTAATATAAAGAACCAAGAAAAAATAAAATAATTTTATAACAAAATTATGTATGTACTCATATACACAGTTAAACCATAGCGAAAGACTAAAATCTATCTTCACAAAAAATAAAGACTAAATCTATCTCTGAGTATTAAAATGAAAAATACTCAATGTTTTAAAGGAGCTTAGAGTAGCAAGCCGATTTTCATGGCTTAAAATGATAATTTATTTTTAAAAACATAACTTTAACAATGCAATGTAAAGTTACGATAAGCCGTAATAGTTCAAAGACGAATTTTTTATTTTTATTTTAAATTAACATAGTTTATTTCATGATACAACAATAATTGTTGCATATAATATTTATTCTTGCATGCCAAATCTCTGTTATTAGAAATAGTGGGTTATCTAATATTTGATCTTCAGTTAAAAAGAAAATTTTCATGCTTATGCTAGAGGTTACATTAGACTTCAAGAAAATTACGAGAAATTACTTTTTAAATACTACATTAAAAGAAAAAGAATTTTTATTGTGCATTTGTAAATAAAATAAGAGAAACATATATTCTACAACTTTGAGGTACTTTGGATGGTATAATTATGGTATTTGGTCCTCTAATTACCAAAAGTACTACAACCATGCATTGCCTCTTGTAAATATGCTTAAGCAGAAAAAATATAAAATTATAAAATTAAACTGAAAGTTCAGAATATCATAAAATGAGAATGATAAGTAAGAATGTGCCTTGCATCTTTTCAGCTATTGAATATTTTTAATATTATTTTGTGTAATATTGAAATTTTTAATACGTGATGATTACTCTCTATTTTTTTCTATTTAAAATTTCAATATTTGATCTTAATGGTCCACCCAACGAACTCTCTATTTTTTTCTATTTAAAATTTCAATATTTGATCTTAATGGTCCACCCAACGAACTCTCTATTTTTTTCTATTTAAAATTTCAATATTTGATCTTAATGGTCCACCCAACGAACTCTCTATTTTTTTCTATTTAAAATTTCAACATTTCTATATATATATTCCATTCCCTTAGGTTCTTGCACACCAATCACCAACACCCACATAATAAGTTAACATTACCGTCTACCCCAACAACAAGTCAACACCACTATCTCCAGTCAACACGTTCATATTTTCATCTTCCACTATAATACTTGTTAAGAAGCTACTAGAAAGCCATGCAACTTTTATAAAGTTGTAGTAATTCGGAATGCTATAAATAGGACATTACCATAACCTCATTCCTCACAATCATAAGTACCATTTCCTCTCTCGTAAATTACGTGACATATATATATATATATAGTTTGTACAAAAGCCATAAACACCATTACTTAACATCGATCCATATATATCATACTTGATAACTTATTGCATTTGAATTTGAAAGCAAAGAAATGGCTCATTCCAAGCTTATAGCAGCTGCATTGTTGATTTTACTCTTTGTTGATCTTGCCTTTTGTGCAAGATTAGGAAAGTCGGTAAATGGTAAAGGAGGAGGAGGTGGAGGTGGTGGAGGTGGAGGAAGAGGTGGTGGTGGTGGTGGAGGGTCAGCCTTAGGGTCTGGTTCAGGTTATGGTTCAGGGGAAGGCTCGGGATATGGTGGGGGTGACGGGCTGTATGGAAGTGGTGGAGGTGGTGGCAGTGGAGGCGGCGGGGGAGGCGGTGGGGGTCGGGGAAATTCGGGTACGGGTAGTGGATCAGGGTATGGGTCGGGTGGAGGAATAGGAAGGGGTGGAGGTGGTGGTGGTGGCAGCACAGGAAATGGCTCAGGGTCTGGCTATGGAAGTGGAAGTGGTTCTGGATATGGAAGTGGTGGGGGTAGAGGAGGAGGAGGCGGTGGCGGTGGAGGAGGAGGTGGCGGCGGCGGTGGTGGCGGTGGCAGTGGCAACGGTTCAGGGTATGGTAGTGGCTCAGGGTATGGATCAGGCTATGGTTCAGGATATGGTGGAGGGGATGGAGGTGATGAACGACCTTGAACTGCTGGAATATTGAAGTTCATTTTACGTATATTTGATAGTACTATTTGGTATATGCATTTTAAATTTATGAGATATAATAAGTTGCATGGTTTCACCACCTTTATTTATGTGGTATATGTATATTAAACTTTGCTTGGTTGTGCATGTAATCAAAATTTCACTATATTCTGTATTAGTATGTTACTCCAATTTAATGCAATAACTTTCCAGGTTTTCCTCAAAATACACTTTCCGATTTCTGCCTTCTAAGGGAAAGTAGTGGAAACTAGACGGGGTTTTAATAGGGAAGTGCTTGTCTGCTTGACTCATGAAAAAATAGCGAAAGAAAATGTCTTTAATGAAATTTAAACCCACTTCATTTGAGTTTAAGTGAAATTACTACAATAAATTGCAACTCTAATAGTAGTTTCTACTCTCTTAGCTAGCTTTAACTAAAAGTCTCGAGTATGAGTTCATTAAAACATTTCGAGAAAACATGGTAAGACATACATAATACTTCTACTTGATGATATTTCAGTATCAGTATTGGTTATTTGTTCCAAAAATTTGTTGCGAATAGAAATTATAACAAGTGTTTTGGTTGTTGCATTTTCAGAAATTAAGGCCATTTTTGCACCTAAAAGCAGCTGAAAGTTTAAATTAATTACCTGCTCGAAGTTTAAGGATTGTTAATGCACTTTACCCAAATAATCAAATTCATAAGCAAACTGATACTGATAATCAACCGAGTAATCAAAGTGCACCAGCCCGGGCTGTTAACAGTGCCCAGTCTACTTTCAGTCAAAAGAACCATGCACCTCCAGCAAAATCATCGACTAAATAATAGTATAGCATAAAATAAACATGTCGATTGCAACCAGAGAAACTATATCTACGTACACCATATTGAAGTATTCAAAGTCATAAAATACGAAAATTGCTCCAAAGCCGGAAGTCTAACAATTTTCACGTCTCGCATAACTCTCATATATGCTCCTCCTGCAAGCTTATGCCAAGACAGATGCTCCTGCTGATGATAATGACTATTCCTCTACCAGACATAAGGAACAAATGTTTTGTATCTAACAGACCACAAGAAGCTTCAGAATTGTCAACTGAGTGCTAGCTATTGAAGAATTACAACTGTATAACACGGTATATATTCAGTCAATTTTATCAATTGCGACAATTATCCCCACAATGTTGCTTCCAGATATTCCTTAATGTACTGAATTTATGCTGAGCTCCTCAAATGGAAGGTCTTCTCCAGCCGTGGATCTGCATTTCACAAATTCATCGCAATAGAAATAGAAATGTCAACACAGTTTCATTCTCGGTTTCCATTAAGAAAACTAAAGATAAATATCTTTAAATACAAGTCCACCCCATCACCTCTCAGAAACATTAGCTATTTTCCGAGATATCATGGACTCAGCTGTGCGGATTGCTCTTTGTGATCCAGTAATAGTTACCTTCCTGCGAAAAGGCCAAAAAGCTTTATAAATACAATGTGTTCTTTGTAGTTCAACCTGTCAAGTGGAACAACAGTTCCAGGACGCCATACCTGTCAGACGTACCGGACAAGAAATCACCCCTATCCGATATCTTAATTCTGGCACCACTAAGCTGCAAGGAAAGGAGAGACTTAGCACATATGCATACCAGGCAGAATAACCACTTCTTTACACACCTGACTGATCTCCATTATGCTTCTTCCATTGCGCCCCAGGACTAATCCAACATGCTCATCCGCAACACCAATAGTCACAGTATTGTTTCTGTCTTCCTGCAATGCCATCCGAGTAAGCTCAACGAGAATAGAACCATAACAGAACCAATAAGAAATTAGCCAAAGAGCAGAAACGCATCTAGAAACAGGATAATATAGTACATTCATCAGCTTCAAACCCATTAGAAAGTAAAAGAATGGTTGCAGGCTAAAAGCAAGTTTCCCAGCAGTCATAGCCATTAGGGACAACAAAGTACTTTCTTTTATGGATGAAGATAAAGTAGTGTCTTAAGAAGGATGAGAATGGACCTTGTTCTGATGTCGGTTATTTGGATATCTTCCTCCAACTCCGTTTGGTGGCCCATAGTTCATTCCGACATAAACAGCTGAGAAAATAGGAGTTGGCAAAAGTTAAAAATTCAAATGAGAATATGACTTGGAATAAGGGCAGAATATGAACATGTCAAATTTGAGATACTTTATTCCTGGAACTGCTTAAACTCAATTTTCTGAATATGATGTTCCATTAAGTCAACCACTACAATCCCAAAAAAAGTACTATTGATAGCTGCACACAACATTACAAGAGAGACGGGATCATCAATATTTAGAAAGCAGAGCAGTCAAGAAGCTAATAAATATTTTCCCCTTCCACATCCATTCTCTTATTTGTAGACTGAGGTCCTAGGAAGCAATACCCAGCAATTGCTCAGACAGCAATTAAGACACGAGAGCATGTCTTATCCATCCTGAGCTATTAGATATAGTTAAAAAAAAAAAGGACAGCCCGGTGCACTAAACTCCCGCTATGCGCGGGGTTCGGGAAAGGGCTGGAACCACAAGGGTCTATTGTAGCTATTAGATAAAGTAAGTACTATAAATTAGTTACATTTGCATCATACCTGCATATTGGAATGGTGCATTCATGGACTGCATGTAATGAGGATCTTCTGTTAACTTATATAAAATCAATTCAATAGCCCGCATCTGCTCATCTAGAGTTCCGGTCACTGTAACTACCCTATCATGCAGTCCTGGGAAATTGTTATCCTGAGGAGATATTTTTATGCCAGCCCTGGAGTCTTCAATAAATGACCTGAACAAGAAAAATGCAGATAGTCAATATTAAAATTCCTCAACCATCTAATTCTGCATATGGAAATTATTTTCAAAAGCAAACCAAGAAAAATACTGCACAAGAATTCACTTTTATAAATTAGTTTTGGAGGAAATATGCAAATAGACTTCCATACTATATTTACAACTCACAATACCACCAAATAATAGGGTTATATAGGGATTGCCCTCAATTTTCAGTTCATCACATGTAAACCTGCCATTTGGAACCATATAATATGACCTCCTCAAGGTTATGGAATAAAGTGAAAATTTAACTTTTCCTTCCAAACTACAACGAATGGCACACACTTAGGACTTTGGTTGTTAGCCCTTTCTCCATCCAAAAGCACCAACACACCAACATAACCTCCTTCATGACTTCATTTCATTAAATGACAACGACCAAAACAAAAGTATTATGGCAGCAAAAACAGAAAATAAGATCCATCCTGTTGCGTCTCTTTGTATTTCACTAGCAGTGAACAACAACCGAGTATAATCCCACTAGTGGGGTCTGGAGAGGGTAGTGTGTACGCAGACCTTACCCCTACCCTGGGGTAGAGAGGTTGTTTCCGATAGACCCTCGGCTCCTTCCCTCCGAGAAACAGAGGCGCAAAAATATAAAAATAAAAGGAAAACAAGGACAAAATAAAATAGAGTGTTTCTTCTCCCAAAAAGAAAAAGACTACTCATGATGAGGCCACCCCCTGTTGGTATCATAGAGTATTTCTACATGAGAGAACTATTTGTGGTTTCTATCCGTCAACAATTTTTTCGGGAATGGCAATGAATTCTTCTTTTGCTTTTCGACTCCTCTTTCCTACCAAAGGAAGAAGAACAAGGAATCAAGTATGATATGCTGCTGACACAGCAAACTAAAACTATGACTATAATACTGCCAACAGTATTATCGGGTTTGAAAGTAGGTATTTCCCCTTCAAAATTATACCATCGGGTAAAGTTAGAAAAAAAATCAGATATATTTGTGTTGGAACGCGTTAATCTAAACACATTAGATAGCGCGTAAATCGTAAAACGAGAACTTGTTCGCGTAGCGAAAACGGAAAGAACGGATGAACCGCGACTGGAATTACTGGTAGGCAGTGATTGTCACGGTGTGTCGGAGCAACCCCTATATCACAGTCTAAACCCTAGTCTGATTTTAGGAGAAGACTAAGCGTAGGAAAATACTTAGTATTTTATATCTTTTGTTGTACATTTTATGTGTACTTATATAGGGAATACCAGGGTTAACTAATAACCTTGTTGGGCCTTAAAGCACCCCTTATGGGTGGACCCAAAATTTCCTATAGTTTAGATCATCCTTCAAATCCATTTCATAAGGAGTTGAAAGAGCTTATACAGATGAACTCCATTAATCCTCAAATCTAAAACCTGCACTACTTTCTAAGCTTTCCTCTCTTCTTTATAACTTTTTACCCCAGCCAAATAGTGTGAGATAGTACAGATACATAAGATTTTCTCCCACTAGAAGAACACCAAAGTAAAATGGCCCAACATGAATCAAACAAGGAAAGGATAACAAAGTACTTGGCACGCATAGAGCTGTAAAATAAGTTGCAATCTTGATAACTTGCCAAGTCACTGTCAAGCAAATATATATGTTGAAGAGCAGAGTAATACTAACTATTAAAAATGTTTTTAGTTCTGGTCAAGAACAATTTTTGTGGTCAAACTGAATTTGTAATATGCAACTTGAGCTTTTGAGCGCATTCTTTTTTTCTTTCAATTTTTTTTTTAATAAGTAGCTTTCTGAGAGCATTCTCAATGTATATCTTGTTAGTTTACAGATATGTACATAATGTAGTCTTGTCCCACATTGGAATAGGAGTAATATGTCCTTGTAGAGTATAGTTATAAATAAGGACATCTTGTATTGTATTGAGTATCTAATATCAATAATATATTTTCTCCGGTGCTTTCTCACATGGTATCAGAGCAATCGTAAGATTTATCGTTGTGCATAAATTACAGCAACTCCGGGAAGAGAAATCAGTCATGGAAGTCTTTTTCCGGCGACTTTTTTCAAAGTTGTTTGCGTCTTCTTTGTCTTCGTCTGTGTTGTGCAAAATCCAACACTACCACAAGAGTCGTCATTGTCCGGCGACCAAACCCCAGTGAAAATCTCCGACAGCAGCCTCCTCACGCA